AAGTAGATTTGTAGTGCTGGATAATAATATGCTTAGTATATATAATTTAACTATATCCAATATATGATTAGTATATATATATATATATATATATATATGTATATATGATTGTTTACTTGTTCTTAAGCACAAAGATTCACAATGGACTATCTGTGTTGTGCCCACCACGAGTAGCAAAATCCGATTTTTAGCGTTATTAACCTTCAGACTTTCCGCTGAGGGGAAATACACACACATGTACATATATATTTATATACTAGCGAAAGCACCGGGCTTCGCACTGGTTATTAGATTGATATATTTTAGCAAGTGCATAAAATATACCATGAAAGTAAACATATTGGTCCAATTTTAATCCTAAATCGTTTCTAAATTAAGCTATTGTCTGTTATATCATCAACGATTTAATAGAAAACAAATCGCTTAAATCAACGGAGACTCTAAATTAAGTACTAAACAAATATTTTTTCAGTTTTGTTGTCTGTACATTTCCTTTATACATATACTAACAACAATGTTTGGTTATTATTTTATTGCAAAGCAACATTGTTAATATAACTGATAAGATAAGTTATAATACCTAGGTGCACACCCTCAGGGTCCACTTGGTATGGGTGCAAAATTTCAGGTTTCTAGATTCTTTCGTCTTGGAGCTATGGCGATAACACATACACAGAGACGTTCTTTTATTACTATAGATACAATTATCCTAATATAATACGCTCTCAAATATAATAAGCACTCTAGTCTTCACGAACTTATCTGATCACCATAAATAATATGCACTTAGACTTTTTCAATACTGTGGTCAAAATAACATTTTGATGACAAGAATTTGTGCCAACTATTCAAGGACAGTGACTTGGACTCACAATTTGAAGGTTTCAACGGAAACGATTTCTAGTTTTGAATATCAGACGTAAAGAAGCGATAACTAGTTTTTTATTTCCAAACATTTCTTAGCTTCACGTGACTTAGCTTCTTGACCGTTTTATTTGAAAAACCGTGCTTAAACATACTGAATATGACTAGAAACAGGACACAATTCTCATTTATACCTTAGAAACAGAATTAATAAGACGTACCATCGAAACGCAACATTTCTAGTATGCATTATGGTTCACAACGCATGTCAGGAAAGATGATTTGGACGCACTGTAAAAAGTTATTACTATCTATTATACGCACTCTAGCTTCTAGATAATCTTTAGTGAAAATAATTTGTATTATATTCGGAAAATTACGATATATATATATATATATATAGCAATGAACTACTTTGAACCGTTATAAAATTTAATTATAAGGCTCCAAAAGTTTACTTATACGTTCATCATTGTAACATCTCCGCTGATTTCTACAAGCCCGTTCCCTTGGCTGTGGTTTCGCTTGATGGTAAATAGGGGCAGTGGGAATCTAGTTAATCCATTCATACGCGTCACTAATTATATGACGAGGCATTTGACTACCTTAATAGAGTTGCAGTTATTTAATTATAAGGCTCCAAAAGTTTACGTATACGTTCATCATTGTAACGCATTGAATATGTTCTTAATTGAATTCATTTTGTCTGATAATAAGGTTTATTTGCTGTCCACAAATCTATTCCCCTTGCTGTTGACAGTCATTATAGTAATTTGGTCTTATCTGAAAATAAAAACATTAAAAACACTTGAAATGCACAAAAAAAACAATTACTTCAACATTTTTATTTTTAGCTCAAAGTTAAACAATGGGTTAATTACGCTGTCCATCACGGGATATCGAACCTCGGATTTTAGTGTTGTATGTCTACAAATTTACTACTGACCCACTGGAGGACCAACATTTTTTGAATGATTGTAAAAATAATAATGTTTACACCTCCTTTTGTTACTTTAAACATTTCTATGTGTCATATTCACTAATATAATCAATACCAACAAATGAAATAATTATTTAAATTTAAAATTAAATAAGAGTATAAATTCCAGTTCAACTTTGAAAAACATTTTAAAGAAGCCTCTGCATGACTAAATATAAGTTAGTTATTTAGACTGTTTACATTTAATGTGGTCCTTTGGTGAGTCAGTGATAATTGTTTACAGGCATACAATGCAAAAATACGGAATTCATTTTCCACGATGGGTATTGATAAATTTTATTAATACATGTCCCCCACTTTGGGACAGCGGTAAATTGGCGGACTTACAACGCCCAATGTGGCTTTGCTTTAAAACAAACAAACAATAAAAAATAATTAATTATTAACCAAAATTACACACAAACATTTGAATAAACTTAACCAATTGAGAAGACACCAGAAGAAAAACTTTCAGTAATCATTCTAGTTATGTAGTATTTACTTTTTATGAACAGAAAGTATTAGAATGTAGTTTAAAGTGTACTAATTCATCTTTCAAACTTAACTTTGAAAATTATTTTTGACCTTTTGAACAAGCAAAGCTTCCAAACCATTTTACTTAATTTTATTATTTT